TTGAGGAGAACCACACTTGGGACGTCGTATCTTACCCTCCAAATGTGAAACCTATTGGGAGTAAGTGGGTTTTTTCAGTGAAACTTCGCTCTGACGGCTCGTTGGATTGATACAAAGCTCGTCTTGTAGCTCTGGGCAATAGACAAGAATATGAGGTCAACTATGAGGAAACATTTTCTCCTGTTGCCAAAATAACCACAGTTCGAACAATCTTAGCTATTGCTGCCTCACAATCATGGATCCTACATTAAATGGATGTGAAAAACACCTTTCTTCATGGCTATCTTCACGAGGAGATTTATATGAAACTTCCCTCTGGTATGCCTACCTCTTCATCTAGTAATGTCTGTAGACTACGCCGTTCTCTGTATGGCCTCAAGCAAGCTCCTCGGGTGTGGTTTAAGAAGTTTCATCACACACATTAACTTCAATTTTACACAGAGTCAGTATAATTCTTCTTTTTTTCTTCCGGAAGTCTACCACAGGTATTGCGCTTCTTTTGGTTTATGTGGATGACATCATCATTATCGGCACTGATTGTAGTTTAATTATGAAATTTCAACAGTTTTTACATGCTACTTTCCATATGAAAGACCTTGGTCAGCTTACATATTTTTTAGGATTGGAAGTTCACCATTGGGCCAATGGTATTTTCTTAAACCAGCATAAGTATGTTCAAGATCTTATTGCATTCGCTGGGTTGGAAGACTTTTCTTCGGTGGACACTCCAATGGAGTTAAATGTAAAGTACAGGAAAGATGAAAGGAATCTTCTAGATGATCCTACTCTATATCACAGTTTAGTTGGGAGTCTTATCTATTTGACCACCACTCGTCCAGATATCTCTTATGCCATCCATCAGGTCAGTCAGTTTATGTCTAATCCTCGACATTTCCATCTTGCTATTGTTTGCTGCATTGTTCGTTATCTTCGTGGTTCACCTACTCGTGGATTGTTCTTTCCTAGAGGGTCTTCCTTTCAACTTTCTGCCTATAGTGATGCTGATTGGACTGGGTGTCCTGATACCCATTGCTCGACTACGGGTTGGTGTATGTTTTTGGACGATGCATTGATCTCTTGGAAATGTAAGAAACAAGATCGTGTTTCTAAATCATCCACTGAAGCTGAGTATCGTGCCATGTCCACGACTTGTTTTGAAATTATTTGGTTACATGGTCTACTCAAGGAGATTGGATTTTCTTAACCTAATTCTACTCCTCTTCATGCGGACAACACTAGTGCTATACAAATTGCAAACAATCCTATCTTTCATGAACGCACCAAGCACATTGAGGTTGATTGTCATTTTATTCGTAATATTTTGGAGGATCGGGTGATCTCCCTTCCCTACATTTCTTCTGACCTTCAAGTGGCAGACGTCTTCACCAAAGCATCGACTCAACAGCAGCATCAATTTCTTGTTGGCAAATTGTTGCTGGTTGATTTCCCAGCATCAATTTGAGGGGAGATGTTACCATATATATTTAGGTTATATTTGGAATAGATTAGATATACTATTTTTGGAGATTGCAATTTTTTTATTTCCTTGTATATTATAAGATTGTGTATATATGTACAATAGGGCACCACAAAATTGGCGGAGAAATTTTTCAGAAATTATTCGAGGTTTCTTTGATATGCAAAAATAAAAATTGATTAGAGATGCTCGCAACAGGAATGAACTTATAACACAGGAAAAAGTTTGATGAACTTCAAAGTGCTAAGTTGCAATTGATGATGTATGATTTTCATTAATTTTCTTACCGTGGAAAGAGTTGGTACAGTAGAAGGATCAAATTCTTCACAATGGTTTGGATCAATTGGGATACAAACATGGCCTGCGAGAAAGAGGCGATAAGAAGTTGAACTTAAAGAGCTCCAGACGAATGTCATATTTGCTATTCTATGTACCATATAAAAAATTCACCACATTTTCAGTACGCTGGACAATAATATCTTGCAAATAAGAAATATTTTGGATACAAACCTGTTTTGGGGTGTACACAGAATGGTGCCTTCAGTAAGTGATTCATGTGTTTTGAAACCTGAGATTTCAGCCAGCAAGCTCCATGAGAGTGAGATTAGTATATAGGATTTACTCATTTAGGATGTCGACATAAAAATCATCATTATAATACATTATTTTTTAGCAGAGGAGCAAAACACTAACCCCCATATCAAGTCTAGGGTAGGTAAAAGAGAACACAATCTCTTCCACGCACCTGCGAATACCCAGTGCCTGAAAATATAATAGGATATTTGGTTCTTTTAAAATTCAAGTACAACAACGTGCATTTTATAGCAGCATATGTTATTTTACATTCAAACTGTATAAACTAAAAAGACGGACGGGAAGATAGCATTTGTGATAGCAAGTACAGTAAACGTGCCACAAAGAGAAGTGAAACATAAGCAAATTGCAAACTATCACATTCTTTATGAAAAAAGATTTAAGAACAATTTATTTCAATATCACTCCACTTGAAATCAAATTAAGAACCTTACAATAGGTCATATAGCTGAAGCAAATCAATCATAAAATATTTATTTTCTAGAAGTAACACTCTGTAAGTGGAGGCTTACCTTGTGTTTCCCAGATAGCAGCTGCTGTTTAACAAGCCCCCATCGGGCTATATTAATATCATCCCGTGAACGCTTGTTATCAAGCCACTTTCCCCGGAGTTCAGAAGTAACAGCTGCATATGTTAGGTAGTGAGGAAGAGACCGTGGATGATTTAAATAAAATAAATAAATAAATAAGAAAAAGACAAATGAAGGGGAATTAACATACATTCTTCCGGAATCATTTCCAGTATCTTTTCGTATCTCTCCTCATCTGAAAACAATTCTTGACTATAAAGGAATTTATCCTCAAAGAAATCTTTCAGAACTTCAGTATATGATCTCCTACAAAGGTAAGGTATATTTAGAATAAGTGGTGAAGGGAGCACAAGAGACAAGATGAATTATGTAAATCATAAACTTACGCCAGTAAAGGATGAAGAGGGCCCATTAGAGAAACTTTTTTCTGGCTATTCTCATTGCCCTTTACAGAAACAAGATACTTTACAACAGATTCAGAAATTTGAAATTTTAACAACGGATATTCTCAGAAATAGTAAAATATAACCTTGTAGACATGTAAATAATCAGCAATAGCAGCCCTTTGTTCATTATTCAACCTGGAAATTGATGAAAGTTATTCACATTTCCAGAAGTCGAAGCAAGCTAGATTAAACTAAATCTCCAAAGCATACAAGCATTACCTTCTTGCTTTTCCATCACAAACCCAGCAATGGACACCACGTCGACCACTGTATACCCATAGAATGTGGTTAAATCCAAAGTCATCTGCAGAAAAATTTGAATGAAGTGTAAGCCTGGTCATAAGTGCCAAACAGATCATTGTACACTCAACAAAATACTTGCTAACTCATTTAAAAGCACTACTCAGGAAACAATTTCCATCAAATGCTACAACCAACAAAAAGGGATGTTAGAAACAAGAAACAGGCAAATTATAGAAGAAGTGAAAGAACATATCGACACTGTTCAAAAAGCAGTATAGAAGAAGCAATATAAAAGTATCACCCAGAACAATACCATCAACAAAAGATTAATTTTGTCTCTTGGTGATTATAAGCATAGCACATAAATCTGAGCAGCAAATTCCATTACATGTGCAACACCGAGATGAACTGTGAAAAATTCTTTCTAAATCATGCTATTGTGCCTCCTTTCATGACTGTAATTATTTGTAGTATAAAATACAATAAAAACCATCTTATAATATAGCATCTTTTCTGTCAATTATAGTTATAAAGATATACTCTGAGCAGCACAATTCATTCAAACAGAATAAAACCATGATAAATAAATTAATTTAGGACCAAATAATTCCATTAGTGACATTTTTCATTGAAAAACCTTGACAGCATTGATAATTGCCTCATTCAAATTTTATACTGCTGTGCTTATGCAAACATTTTTTACTTTGCCAAAAGGAATTCCTAAAGCTTGCATGAATTTAGAATATCAATGCACAACTTAATACCTCTAAGGGCAGTATCAATCACTTTAATTGCTACTGTCATCAAAGGCCAGCATTTTGGGCATACATTAGCTCCTGAGCAGCAAAATCTAACATCGTCATAATCTGATATATCCTGTAATACATAGCAGAAGTCGACAAGCTATCCTAAGATATTCGTTCAAGTATATTTCATATCTGATTAATTTCTCATATTGACTAGAGGAGGGAAAATTGAAATTCACTTACTATATCAAATATAAGCTCCCTTTCCACAGGTTTGAAACCGTCAGCTTGTGAATAGGCTTCCCTCTTTGCAGGCTGCAGCAGAGTAAGCAAAATCAGGAATGAAGAAAAGGGTTCACTGTCGAGAACTACAGTGATGGACATGAATCTTAAGCCAAAGAAAACCACTGGTGAAAAATGCTAGAACTTTCTATCACACAAACATAAAATAATACCACCGTTGTATTTGGTTTCAGGGGAAGGGAACGTTTGTTAAGAAAGGAAAGAAGTATGTAAGGAGACCCAAAAAGAACATTTCTGTCTCTTCTCCTTAACTTCTTTGAACAAAAAGTTTGAAAATTCTCTTTTCCAATCCGTTCCCCTAGAGGAAAAATTACCAATAAAGGCACAGAGGAAAGTAGATACAGCACCAAAATTAGAATAATCCCCAGCCCTCCACACGGTAGAAACTAATCGATACTTACTTCAACACTGTAAACTGCTCCAATATCAATTTTGAACGGGCATTTTTCCTTGATAGCCTTTTCCAGTTCAGCAATGCTGTTGAAGGACTGAAACCGCAAGTATATTTCATTTTCCAGCGTGAAAGAAAATTCTCTTCGACCAAAGTATGACTGATCACACCCGGGGTGTCTTCCATCTAGAAATAATCAATCAAGAAACATTAAAAAAAAAAAAAATAAGAGAAACAGATAAAGAATTACTTGAGACATATAGGCATGTGTTTGGCTCCCATTCTTAGCTAATTTTAATGGATGGAATAGTGTTTTTTTGAAAAATGTGTGGTTGAAAAAGAATGAAAAGTTTTTTATTTGTGTGTAATATTATTTTATGGAAGATTGTGTGGTTGAAAATAGGAGAGAGAAAAAGAATGAGAATGAGAATGAGAATGAGATAAGAATGGGGGCCAAACATGGGCTAGATTACCATTTCCATATGACATCCATTTGAACATATCAGCATACGGGAAAAGCTTTGCTGCACAAATAAAATTCATAGTGAGGAATCATTTTATAAACAACGCTGGAAAAAACTAAGGGAACATTCCAGAAACTCTAAGGACTTTTATCGTGTGGTTATGAGAGAATTCACAGAGCAAATTCGCATAAGAACATAACCAAGGGAGAAATATTTCAATTCTAGACATTGTCCTTCCATTTTTGTTTAAAAGGATTAAATCTTCAAAAAAATAATAAAATTAAAGCATAGAAATCAACAAAGTATGAGCCAGCGTGATAGGAATAGAGCAAGAATATATGAGAAACTACCATAGTAAGTTCTGAGGTAATTTGAGTTGAATGCTTCTGAAATTTCAACATTATGGTTTTGCTTGGGTTCAAGTCCATCGATTAGCATGTCATCCCTTCCATTCTCAACCTGTTCTCCGGTCATTCTGTAAATAATGAACCCTTTCTTCAAAAACTCAAAATTTCCCTGAAAGAGACATTTTGAGTTAGGAGAGCACAATCAAACTTGCAAAATAGTTGTGAAAAAATTAAAGAATTCCATATCTTATTACAATTATTCTCTATGCGTTCTCATACTTGGATAACATCCCATAATTACATCATCATTCTCAATATATGCAGTCAAATTATCATTCAAATCCCCGATTTGATTGCGTAGACCTAATGAGTAATGCTATTTATAAACAGGGTTTACTAGTAAGATGACAAATTAATTAAGGTCATATCACCGAAAAGCAGCATTCACACCTTATTCTAATGTAATAGGTACAACCCCAAATGCAAAGAAGAAGAATATACTGAGGTGAAAAGGACGGGGGAAAAAGAAAAGTTCAGGCCAGAAGCATGTGGAGAGAAAGGCCAACTCGGATTTTTTTTTTTTTTTCATCGCATATAAATTATAAATGAACGTGAGTGGTGACACCAACAAATGTACAGGGTTGTGGAATAAGTTATTTGGACCCCAACAAGAAACTGGTAGAAAAGGTAAAAGAGGAAGTTGATGAACTGTAATTGTTTAAGAACGCACATGTCTCTGCTGCCTGCCTGCTACTTGCAATGGAATGGAAATAATTCCCACTCAATTTTATAATCATCCCTTGCCTTGGGAGTCAAATTTATATTTCCAACGAATTAATGATCAGATGCTCATCCTCATAAATAAAGGCAAGCTCGAACATAGCCCTTGATAATATAACTTTCATACCTAACTCAACATCTTCCTAATAGAACAAGCGCACAGGCACAGAAGCAACAAAAACAATTCAAGTTCAACAGTACCTTAAACTAAACAAAAACAGAGGTAAATACTTATGAATAATTCCTCCCACCCAACAATACATTAAATAAAAACAATTCAAGTTAAACAAATATCACAAAGAAGCAAAACAAGTTCAAACTTCAACTAAACAGAGGAAGTTCGACAACCCCAACAATTAAATCAAATTAAGCATAAAGATTTCACAATTGCCTTCTAATGCAGCCCCAATTTTGAATTTTTGATGAAGTTCCTAAAATAAATCTCAAAAATCATAAATCTGAAATCAAAAAGTACAGGATTTAAGATTGGAATTGACTGGCTGAAATTAGAAATAATTCTCGTAAAAAAACTGACCTTTGGGTTAGGGTTTGAACTTTGAAGAATGAAGCGGTCACGCGGTGGCCGGACTGGTGGAAGCGGGGATCGGTCGGACCCGGACCGAGGCAGAAGGTGGAGCAGCAAATCCGTCTGATTTTTTCGCCCAGTGGAGAAACTAATCTAGAAGAGCCACAACATCCGATCGAAGGCCGTGGGAGGAGTCGGTGGCGGTAGGCGGCAGGTTTTGTGGTGGCCAAGAAGAAATGTGAGCGGGAAAATAATAGAATTGTTTGGGGTTTGGCGGGAAAAATGTGGGCTCGTCGA